GAGGGGCTGAGTCGTCCCCTACCAGGGTGGGGACCATGGAGGCCGCCTTGGAGACGCTCACTTTCTGAAAAGATCATTTGCATGTGCACAACGCCTGCCATCCCTTACCCCAGCGATCTTTACAACCTCCGAGTAGCAATGGCTACTCTTTCTTTGCACCTGGGGTAAGGAAGGAGGTTGTGGTTCAATTGAGCTCATCAATTAGAATAAGGCACCTGGCGTAAACTACACTCCCCACCCCACCCCCTGCTCCCGCTCTTTCTGGTCCGGATTACGTTGCGTTTTACCAAGTAAATATGTTTAACAGTGAAGGGGAATTGCAACGTTTGGGAACTGTTGGAACCGAGGCTTGAGAATGGAAATGATGAGACTGGTTTGGAGAACCGAGATTTTCAGATCAGGTTCAGATTATTTGTGAAATCACTGAGGAATGTGACTAACCTCTCCTCGAGTCCAGTTCTTTTACAAAACTCGGAATGCTGTCAAGGAAGGTTAGCCGAACACTGTGGGTTTGCTACCACTACGTGGGCCTGGGGGCTACCAAGAGTGAAAGCCAACTCCTGCCTCACAAAAGTTGAGTTTGTATTTGCAAATCCTCCAGTCCTCAGGTGAGTCAGTACTGTGCTGGGTGAATAAGGGCATGTGCAGCCATGCCTGCTGAGGCTCGGCGTCTGGTCGTGGAGACAGACATGAGATGGGCAAATAGGCAATGTCAGCAACGAGGCTTCCTGGAGGAGCGGCTGCAAACCAGTGTCCAGAGAAGTGGGAAGAACTTCGCAGTGAAACACAACCCCTAGTCGGCAGATAGATGATCTGTTGAGAGGCCTAGTTAGTCTTCTGATTAGGTGATCTCTGGGCAGCACTTGGCACTGTCACCTCTCCTTCCTTCTAAAATTCTCTTCATGACTTTGAGTTTTCCCTCCTCCACCTCTTGGTAATGTCCTTTTCCTTTGCAGGGTTCTCACCCTCTTCCCCTTTGGTGACCCTGAGTTCCATCATGAATGTCTTCTCACGCCACACATCCCGCCTTGCTGCTTGCACCCTCACGGGGTCTGAAGAACTCACTAGATAACATTGCCCAGATTCCTTTCTGAGGCTTAGATCCCGGTGCCCCCACCCTGTCCCTTCTCTCATTTTGAGGCCTTTGCACATGCTGCTCTACTTGGAATGTTCCCTCCCTCAGCCAGATCAGCTCATCGGTCTGGCCCGTCTTCATCTGCAAGCCCTCATGCTGCAGCAACGTCAGGCCCCAGTTAGATGCCTTTCCCATGTGCCCCTGCTCGCAGCTCTTCTCACATCACAGGAATGGTCTGCTTCCTTGCCCTTTTCTCCCAGGAACTTGTAAACAGCTCGAGGTCAGAGACTGTCTGTCTATCACAGTTGTGCCCGGTACCTAGCATATATTAAAGTTTCAATAAGTATTAGATGAGTGAATATAAGAAGGAATGCATAACAGTATTCGGTGTTGCTGAGAAGGCAACTATGATAAGCATTAAAAATATTGGCGTTTGTCACAAGGAGATGGTGAGTTAACTCTGCAGAGTTAGTTTAGCTGACAGCGATGATACAGAAACCAATCGGGACAAGTGGGAGGTGAAAGTAGGAAGAGCAAGTGTGCGCAGGACTTGAAAGGTGTAGCTGTGAGGGGAATATGTGGAGCAGCTAATGGGATCGGGTGAGGTTGTGCGTCCCTGCTTTTCCTAAATGGTAGGGAATACCTGAGCATGTCCAGAGTTCCATGGGCAGGAACTGTCAGGAGGGAGTGCTGCGGACATGAAGTCCCAGAGGAAGCAGGAGATGGGACTGGACCCAGGGCACAGTGAGAAGACGAGAGGTTGCAGCATGTTCTCAGGAAGAGACAAGAAGGAACAACACGAGGCGGGTGGGGGAGGAAAGAAGTGCCTGGTGTATTTGAGAATTGGCCGTTAGATGGTGGAGTGAAGGAGCTGGACCAGTAGTTCAAGTCTAGTCGGTGCAGGGCCTTGAAAGGCCGGGTCCCATAGGCAGTGGGGAGCCCACCCTTGGCCTTTCCCATCGATGGAGCTGTGCAGACCGGGCCATGTGCAGCTTCTCCACCCAGTGTGAGCTCAGGTTGTGGCGCGTCCAGTCACTTCCCAGCTGCGGCCAGGCTTTGCTTGACTCCCTGAATGGCCACTTACCTGCTTGGAGCTGTGGGTGGTGGTGAGTGATGGCTCTACCCTTCCTCCCAGAGCCCAGATGCCGCTCCAGCCTTCAAGCAAAGACACAGAAGAGATGGAAGCAGAGGGTGATTCAGCTGCCGAGATGAACGGAGAGGAGGAAGAGAGTGAGGAGGAACGAAGTGGCAGCCAGACCGAGTCCGAGGAGGAGAGCTCAGGTGACACGCACACACACGCACACACATGCACACGCACACACGCCTGCCCACTCCTCAGCCGGCCTTGACTGCCCTCTTGTCCCAGAGATGGACGATGAGGACTATGAGCGGCGCCGCAGCGAGTGCGTCAATGAGATGCTGGACCTGGAGAAGCAGTTCTCGGAGCTAAAGGAGAAGTGAGCGGGGACACCTGGGGCCGGGTCTCCAGGCACTTGGGGTGAGGCGGGCCCGGTGCTGGGCAGAGGGGGCCGAGGCCAAGGTGAGTACCTGTCGTGGGCCAGGTACTCCATATGTGTTTGACGGACGAGCACATTTTACCTTCCAGGTTGTTCAGGGAACGACTGAGTCAGCTGCAGGTGCGGCTGGAGGAAGTGGGGGCTGAGAGAGCGCCCGAATACACAGAGCCCCTGGGGGGGCTGCAGAGGAGCCTCAAGATTCGCATTCAGGTGGCAGGTCTGTGGGCTGTCCTGTGCCCTGGAGTGGCCCCCAGTCTCCCTCCCTGTTCCCCTACCCACCCATGGTCCCTTCCTCTCTCATCCCTGTCCTGCCCATGTTCCCAGCACCCCTTTTGGGGCACTGGAGTCCCTGGCCAAGCTGGGCCTCTCGAACCCCTCCCTCCCTCTGCAGGGATCTACAAGGGCTTCTGTCTGGACGTGATCAGGAATAAGTATGAGTGTGAGCTGCAGGGAGCTAAGCAGCACCTGGAGGTGACCGATGGGCGCCAAGGGAGGAGGATGTAAGTGGCCCACCTGTCCCTCCTGACTGAGCTGCTCCCGCCTCTTCCAGAGTGAGAAGCTGCTGCTCTATGACACGCTGCAGGGGGAGCTGCAGGAGCGGATCCAGAGGCTGGAGGAGGACCGCCAGAGCCTGGACATCAGCTCGGGTGAGGCAAGGGGCCGGCCCTGAGCACCCTGCCCCCGCCCGGCTCTGTCAGTGCCCACTCCTGCCCGGACCTGAGCTTCCCCGCCTGCTCACGGGGATAGGAAGAGGGGTGTTTGTGGAGCCTGAATGACGCCAGGCATGGAAGGGCCTGGCCCCGTGCCGGGCACACAGTGGGGGTTCAGGAAGAGTGGGTCCCCCTGCTCTCCTCTGCCCTTGCTCTCTTTCCAGAATGGGAGGTGACATTCTGACACTCCCACACATAAGTAGCCACAGTCCCCGCCATGTCCATAGTGCCTGCATCACACGGGGCTCTGGGGAGGCAGGGGTTGTCCTCATCCCACTGTCCACTACACAGATGAAGAAACAGCCCCATAGCTGTGCAGTGACCTCTTTCCCGGGTTGTACTTCTGTGCAGTTGGGACCTGAACTCAGCTTCTAACCCCCAAGCCCAGGGTTCTCTCCCCTGTCCTGGGAGGTGGTTGGTGGGGAAGGGCAGGCTACGGAGGTGGGGGTGTCCTGGGAGGGCCAGCACCACGATCCTGACTCTGGGTCTGGGTCACAGAGTGGTGGGATGACAAACTGCACACCAGAGGCAGCTCGAGGACCTGGGACTCCCTGCCGCCCAGCAAGAGGAAGAAGGCACCCCTCGTTTCTGGTATCCTTCCACCCGCAGGGCCTGAGCGGGCAAAGGCGGCGTGTGAGCTGGCAGCGATGCTGGGAGCCTCAGAAGGGAGCCTGCTCACACACCTCGCCTGGTCTTCCCCCAACAGCCATGGCTTCTCTCTCCTGCCTCCCTGTGGGACCCTCGCATGAGGGAGGCGTTGCCTCTGCCCCACCTTAGCCTTGATCCCTCTGGCGTAGCCCAGCACAGAGATGAACTGAATTCGCACCCCTGCTCCCCACCCCCTGCCCTGATTCCTGCAGTAACCAGTCTAAGGGCACCGGCCGCCTGGCTTAGGAATCAGGTTCAGGAAGGAAGGGAGGGAGGAGCCTGGACTGCAGGGACTTGAGGGCGTGGGGACATCGGGTACAGATTATGGGAGGACAGAGTGGACGGACCCCAGGGGCCTGGGAAACCAGTGTTTTCAGAATGGGTTCTGTGTGTAGATGGGGAAAGGGGCCACGGGGGGACCAGGAATAGGAGGAGCAAGGTCCCTGAGTGGGTGGATGGGCCTTGGCCTACTGACCTTGAAGCTGGGGAGAGGGCATGAGTGGGAGCCAAGGTAGGGGAAGTAGGGGTGAGGCTTGGGGCCCACCCCCGCCCTCTTGGACTCGTTGAAATAGGCCATAGCCACACACACCCCGCCTCCCCGCCCCTGAGAACCTGAGGGCCAAGAGGTAGGGGTGGAGCCCGCGCTCTAGCCCGTGCCCTTAGCACTACCTCTCCCGAGCCGAGGCCTCCTGCCCCTCCTCGGGCATTGCTTCCTTGACCCTGTTGCAGGCCCTTACATCGTGTACATGCTGCAGGAGATCGACATCCTGGAGGACTGGACAGCTATCAAAAAGGTGGGTCTCATGCAGGGCCCTAGCCCAGACGCCAGGTCTGCTCTGCAGGCTCCCACCCTAGCCTTTCTGGGGTTCCCTGGCATCACTGCCAGCCCCCTTTTGCCCAGGGCTGCTCTGGAGGAGGGAGCTTCTAGTCTTGTTGGCCTCTGTCTTGTTCCAGGACAGGTTTTGATGGGAGAAAGGGAAGGTGGGAGAGCAGCTGGGCTGGCCAGGCCTCTGACGGGGGTCACATCAGAGCTTTGTCTAGAAAGTGTCTTATGCTTCCCATGCCCTCCCCACCCCCAACTCCCAGGCGGTACTGGCCCAACAGCCCCCGCCCCAGAGAGGCTGATGGGGAGGGGACTTGCCAAGCCAGAGGCAGGCTCTCAGGGGGCTTTTCTTCTCTCCACCCCAGGCTAGGGCGGCTGTGTCCCCTCAGAAGAGAAAATCGGATGGTAAGAGCCACAGGGCTTCCCACCTCCACCCCTTCCCCCAGCCCAGCCTCCAGAGAGGAGCCCAGGGAGCGGCAGTGGCTGTGTCAGATCCGTGGCCGAGAGAGTTGGGACGGTCTGGGCTTGAGGGCACTGGGAGTTTGGGAGCAGGAGCCCGGGTGGGGGTGGGAAGGCGAAGCTCTAAGCTGATGGGGCAGGACACGGAGTTCCCACCGGTACCGAGGGGCCCACAGATGAGGGGCGGACCAGGGCTGTTCCTCTCATTTCCGCAGACAAGTGGCGACTCCCTCTTGTTGGCTTCTCTCACCTGCAGTGATGTTTCCCTTCCCACATCCCCCAGGACCCTGACCCTGTGACTCAGAGCCAGAGGGGCCCCTCGGAGCAACAGGCACCAAAACCCGGATTGACGTTTTCCTACTGCAGCCAGGCAGGTGGACAAGCCCTCGGGGTCTTTCCAGCCGGCTCTCCAGTGCTGCTCTGCGCACTCCCCTCAGCCCTCACTGGTCTGGACTCCTGCTCCTGCTCCGGGCTTGTACAGCTGTGGCCCAAGCTGTCCTAGCCGGGCAAGACTGAGTCCCTCATCCCCAACAGCCCCTCCCTGCCCCTGCCGTCGGCCCCTAGGTCCCTCCCTGACAAAGAAGACCTGCCTCGTCTTAAGCCAAAGCACATCCTTCCTGCTGGCCTTGGACCTGGATCCCCACTCACTGAGCCAGCGTGTTGGCCCACTTCGTGGGAACTCTGAACCAGAAGTTCTGTTGGGGGAGGGGGGCTGTCCTGGCTCTTGCCGTGCTGAGAAGGCGGGCTCCCCAGGTCTTCTCCAGGCAGTCCTTGGTGCCTGCCTCCCACACTGCGGGGACGGGAATTAAAGCATTTCCTGGGTCTCTGCTGTGACCCAACGTGTGTCTGATTTACCTTTCGAGGGAGTCGGGACTCCCATGAGGAGTGTCTCAAACAGGCAGTCTTTTCTGGGGTCCCTGGTGCCTCTCACTACCCAGCAGGAGCCTACCCACTCTGACTTGGGGTGTAGACTGCGGAAAAGGGGGACTGGGTGGGAGGCTGGGCCCTGGACTGCCTGGTGCTGGTGACAGAGTCTGAAGCAGCATGTGGCCCAGGCAGAACACGTGGCCTCAGATGGGGAAGGGGGCTGAGTGCTCTGTGCTTGGAGGCTGGGTCATGTCTGCACCTGCCCATCGCCTGGCAGATTGGCAAGGCCTGTGCGTGGGAGGCAGCCGGCAGCAGTGCCATGTGCTGACGCCTCACAGCCAGACTCCCTGTTTAGTGCTGATTATTAGAACCACCCCCAGAACCTCAGTTAAGCAAAGGGGTTTGTTTCCATGGAGACAGGCATCCTTTCTCCATGGCAACCTGAAATCCCAAAACCCCAGTAAGGCTCGGGAATGAGTCATCTGTGACCAGTAGGAGGCGCTCTTTCACAAGGTTGACCCCAAGGTGGACAGTGGAGCAACTGAGCACAGACTTTAAAGGCGTCCCAAGGGCAGGAGGCTTGGGCCGAGAGGGAGGAGACAGGCCCTACTTAACCCCTCCTTTCCCACCCGTGGTCCGAGGCAGCTGCTTCGGGAAGCTCTGTACAGAGGCGGCAGCCCTGCAGCTGGGGCCCTCAGAGTGGCACTTGCATGGGCAGGATCCCTGTCCCCCAAGACTGGGCCCGGAACACAGGAAGTGGTGCTGCCCGGGCTGAGTGGACACCAAAGAGTTAACTGGCGGGCGTGACAGGGCGCACCGCCCTCAGGAAGTGTTACTCACCAGCGGGAATGCTCCTGCCTTGGGGGCTGGACTGTCTTCCTGAGTCCCAGAAGTACCCAAGGAGCTCCCGCCATGGACACCCCTGGGGAGCCAGGAGCAGGGCCTCTCGGAGCCCCCAGCCCTTCGAACTCCTCCGCGCCTGGGCACCTGGAGAGAGAAAAGTTGGTGAAGTTGGAGGGGCAGCCTGGAGGGGCAGGGAGGGACTGCGGAGCCCGTCTGTCCCAGGGCAGAGGAGGGGGAAAGGGCTGGGCAAGGGGCCCGGCCGCTGGCTGCCTGCTCAGATCTGGTGCCTGCCTCCAGGCCAGCCCAGGACCCCATGTACGACGTGCCCGATGCCAGCGGGGGGCGGACAGGTGGGCCCCAGCAGCCAGGGCGCACTGTGAGCCTGCGGGAGCGCCTGCTGCTCACGCGGCCCGTGTGGCTGCAGCTGCGGGCCAACGCAGCCGCCGCGCTGCACGTGCTGAGGACCCAGCCCCCGGGGGTGAGTCTTGCCCCTGCCCCCAGAGACTGGCCGGCGGAGGGTGGGAGGGAGAGGAGCAGGACACGAAGGTCCTGAGCCTCCAACCCATCCCTTCTCAGACGTTCCTGGTGCGGAAATCCAACACTCGCCAGTGCCAAGCTCTGTGCGTCAGGCTGCCTGAGGCCAGTGGCCCTTCCTTCGTGTCCAGCCACTACATCCAGGAGAGGCCTGCGGGTGAGAGGGACCGGCCTGGAGGGACGGGGCTGGAGGGACGGGGCTGGAAGCAGAGGCTGGGCCGGGGGGATTCCGGAGAACAGCCTCACTTCCCATCTCTCAGGCGTCTCGTTGGAGGGATCTGAGCTCGTCTTCCCAGACCTAGTCCAGCTCATCTGCGCCTACTGCCACGCCCGGTGAGCCTGCCCTCGGGTGCTGGTGTTCGTGGGCCACCCTGTCCTCCCACCCCTACAGCCCCAAGCAGCCCTCACTTACCTGCCCCCTCTCTGGCCCCAGGGACATCCTGCTGCTCCAGCTCCAGCTCCCTAGAGCCATCCGCCAGGCAGCCACCCACAAGGAGCTGGAAGCCATCTCCCATTTAGGCGTCGGTAAGGGCTCCCCTACTGCCCATTGCATAGGTGGACAAACTGAGGCCAAGGGGGCAAGGGAAGGCAGGTGGGCACACAGCCTGAGCCTGCACCTTGCCCTCCTCTGGGCACATCCCCTTCCTCTCTCTGAGGCCCCAGTTGGTTTCTCTTCTCTAGAGTTCTGGAGCTCCTCCCTCAACACCAAGGCTCAGCCAGGCCCCTCCGAAGGCCCGCTGCTGCCCCGCCTGAAGCCCCGGTCCCCACAAGAGCTGGACCAGGGCACCGGGGCCGCCCTGTGCTTCTTCAACCCCCTGTTCCCAGGGGATCTGGGCCCCACCAAGCGGGAGAAATTCAAGAGGAGTTTCAAAGTGCGTGTATCCACAGAGACCTCCAGCCCCCTGTCTCCACCCGCTGTGCCACCTCCCCCCGTCCCAGTGCCGCCAGGGGCAGCCCCCAGCCAGACAGAAAGGATGCCCCCTCGACAGCTGCTGAGGAGGGAGAGCTCAGCGGGGTACCGTGTGCCCGGGGGAGCCAGCCCCAGCCTCCCTCCCCTGCCCTCCCTCCAGGAGGTGGACTGTGGCTCCCCCAGCAGCTCCGAGGAGGAGGAGGGGATGCAGGGGCGTCAGGGGAGTCCAGCAACCTCACCCCGCCTGAGTCTCAGGAACCACAGGCGGCCTTTGCTTCGGTCCATGAGCTCTGCCTTCTGCTCTCTGCTGGCACCCGAGCGGCAGGTGGACCGGGCGGCCTCGGCGCTGATGCAGGACCGCCACACAGCTGTGGGCCAGCTGGTCCAGGACCTACTGACCCAGGTGCGGGCCGGCCCGGAGCCCCAGGAGCTGCAGGGCATCCGTGAGGCGCTGAGCAGGGCCCAGGCCATGCTGAGCGCCGAGCTGGGCCCTGAGAAGCTGCTGCCGCCTAATAGACTGGGTGAGACTCCAGCCCCGGCTTTCGCTGGCTCAGCCCCTTCTCTCCATAATCTCAGCTCTTACCCATGCCACTCTCTCCCCTCCGCAGTGCCGCCTGGCTCACCCCTTCACGTGCATTTCATTCCCCACTTCTCTCCTCCCCCCACTCTCCTGTCTCACAAGATCCCTCCTCCTCTTCATCCCTGTCTCGCTGGACTCTGCCCCCACCCTGCCCTGGCTCCCCTGACCCCTGGCCTGCCTCTGCTCCACAGAACGCATCCTGGAGAAGTCCCTGCATCGCTCGGTGCTCAAGCCTCTCCGGCCCATCCTGGTGGCCCGACTGCGGCGCAGGCTTTCCGCCGATGGCTCCCTGGGCCACCTGGCTGAAGGCTTCCGCCTGGCCCGGGCCCAGGGCCCTGCAGCCTTCGGGTCCCGCCTGAGCCTGCCCTCCCCGGTGGAGACGGAGCAGGTGCGCCAGAAGCTGCTGCAGTTACTCCGCACCTACTCACCCAACGCCCAGGTCAAGCGGCTCCTGCAGGCCTGCAAGCTGCTCTACACGGTCCTGAGGACCCACCTGGGTACACCCCCTCCCCCACTGGCTCCTTGCTGTCAGAGGCAGGCCCCTCCAGGCACATTCCAGGAAAGGCACAGCTGGGGGAAGATGGGTCCAACCCTGCCATCTCACAGGTGGTCTAACTGAGGCCCAGATTGTGGAGCATCCTCTCCCAGCCCCTGCTCGTGGTTGCCATAGAGACCACATTGCTCAAGGCCTGGCAGGCGGAGGGGAGGGTCACTGTCTAAGACAAGGAGGGGACTCTGACCGCGGGGCCTCAGAGGAGCCTGAAGCTTCCCTCTCCGCCACCCACAGGAGAGGGCGCGGGGGCCGACGAGTTCCTCCCGCTGCTGAGCCTGGTCCTGGCCCATTGCGACCTTCCTGAGCTGCTGCTGGAGGCCGAGTACATGTCAGAGCTGCTGGAGCCCACACTGCTCACCGGCGAGGGTGAGGGACCTCACACACAGGCCACTTCCTGTCGGGGTGGGGCTGGAGCACCTCAGCGCCTGCACGGCCCGAGCAAGCAGGGAAGGGAGAGGGAACATGTCACCCAACCCCATCCTCCATTCTCCCCGTGTCCCAGGCGGCTACTACCTGACCAGCCTCTCCGCCAGCCTGGCCCTGCTGAGCGGCCTTGGCCAGGCCCACACGCTGCCCCTGAGCCCCTCACAGGAGCTGCAGCGCTCCCTCAGCCTCTGGGAGCAGCGCCGCCTGCCCGCCACCCACAGCTTCCAGGTAACAGGGCCCCCTTACCATCCGCCCAAACTGTGAGTCCCAGTAGGGAAAGGCTGGTCCTGCGCCCCCTGCAATAGAAACAGCACCCCACGCAGAACAACGTCAAGACAGCCTTTCTGGAGAGAGTATGTTCCACTGTGCCCAGTGCTCTAGGCGCTCAGCCCTGAATCTTCACAGAAATAGGGCCATCACTACCCCATTTCACAGATGAGGAAACTGAGACGTGACATGGAAAGGGAATGGGACACAGGTGGCAGGCTGGAGCCTCAAATCCTGGCTTCCAGCCCCAACTGGGGCTCTGCCCACCCCTGGACTTCAAGCTTCCAGCCCAAGCTCCCCTCACCAGACACCATCCCTGCCCTTCACCACCCTCACCGCCCTTCTCAGACTTGGTGAAGAGTCCAGACTGTAGGCAGATCCTGGGCTCAAATCTGGGCTCTGCTACTTTCTGGTTGTGGGAGCTTGAGCAAGTTAGGTAACTAATTTGAGCCTCAATTTTCTCATATATAAAATGGGATAACAATACCTACCTCCTGGGACTGATAGGAGGATTAAATGAGTTAAAACCAGGACACATGCTCAGGACACAGAGTTAGCTCCATCTGAGCATGATGGTCAGGCCATCCCTGCAGCCTGCAGTAAAACCCACCAGCCTAAGCCTATCTCCCCCTTCCTCAGGGCCCCCAGGACCTCACCTTGTCCAAAAAGCTTTTTCCCGTTGGTTCTACAGAGACCTCAAGCTTTGCAGCCAGATGCGTACCAAGCAAGGTTGAGTTTCTGTGTTTGTTTCTCCTCCTGCACAGCATCTCCTCCGAGTAGCCTACCAGGACCCCAGCAGTGGCTGTACCTCCAAGACCCTGGCCGTGCCCCCAGGGGCCTCGAT